TGTCACTGTTTCCTCTGGGGTATTACTCGCATCTCCCTTATCACTAGCCTTGAATGCCACTTTGGTACCCGACTCGTCGTCAGATAAAGATGACCTACAGAATAAAAGGTTGACGACGACCAGAGACAAGTGCTTTTTCCTGGAGATATGAGCGAGAATCGCCTCCATTCGAACTTGAGCGGCGGCGGCGGCCTGTCATCACTCAACACTTTTGAGTTGCGTGCGCCATCCTGATCGATCCGATATTCTTTATGATCATTGGCCTTGCAAGATGTGGAAGCTTGATTGATGTCCTCGACGGTACCCCAGTCTACGGGGAAGATACTACCTGACGGCGGGGACGGTGGGCAAAGGGTGTCCTCTTGGCGACGGCTAGGGTCTATTATTGCCAATACTTTTAAATCACTAGTGAATAGGAAGAGGCTTAGAACAGATGATGAGCGTACTCCTGAGGAACACAGCAGGCCAACGACGCGACGGAGGCAGTCCTCCGATAGGTGTGGATATCATCTATCGCAGGAAAGAAGGGAACCATCAGTGAGGCCGGCCCGGTAATGAAGCTATCGTAATCTAACAATGTATTCATTATCCTTTCAGTCGACTATTACACACTTCCCCGGATAATGCTACTATTTGGGATAACTATCGTGGAAGGCGACTATCTACTGATAATAGTGGTGGACTGTTGGATATTGAAGCATGCTTACCAAGCTATCATCTATACAGGGATACATTCCCTGGCCCTGCTGCTGTAAATCTGGACTCGGCACTCTGTCGGCAATTGTCTCTAGGGAGCTTCCCGATACCTAAGCGTGGGATGTCATTGATGAGACGTCGACGAAGTGATCCTGCCTTAACACTGCCTTCATCTATGGATGAAGATGAATGGCGTCGACGGGTGGATGATCTGCAGATGCATAATGATATCCTCACGTCAGCGTGTCTACATTCTCTACAATTCAACGATGTGAATGATCATCATCATTCGATGGTGACGGTCGAGAGACGACCTAGAGTGAGGTTCAGTAGTGGTATCAAGGAGATAATCTCTAAGAAGGATCCTTGGCTCCCTCGGGGCCCAGACATACATCCCGCAATAGAGTACACAACAGCCCCACGGCCTGCTGAGCAGATTAAACCTAGTAGAGAGTATACTCTTGATGAATATAGGCAGGCTGCTGAGCACTCAGCTGCATCTGAGGGATATATTGTCAAGATGGATGAAGTGAGGGTTTATGGATCCTATTAGAACCGCGTGGTCATTGTATCATTGGTAGTTTGAGAAGAAGAAGAATGGCCTACAGCAGCAATACGATGAGCTGAGGTCTCGGGAGCTATCATTGAGGAAGGAGACTGATAAGAGAGGTAATAGGGCACATCATACTACATCATCACAGCATTTTCTTGTACCAGCTCCGGAAGTTGCTGTCGAGGCTGATCGTGGTGTATCCAGACGACCATCATGGATGGTATTGACCGATGAGGAACGTATGGATGGTAGAGCACTGTTGTGCAGGACAGGGTAATGCAGGTAATCGTGTCTAGATGTGGGATGTCTAGTCTGTGATGTATACTGATAAGTTGTAGTAATGAAGTGGCCTTATGCAGGTCAGAGCTGTTGGCCCCTAAACAGTACAATATCGACATAACAGCACATGCACTGTCATGCCTACAGCAGGGACGATGGCTCAATGATGAGGTGGTCAACTATTACTTCATGATGTTACAGGTGATCATGATGAATAGTAATTATAGTACGGCCAGCCTTGTACCTCATAGGATCGGAGTGATCGGAGCTGCAAAGGGAGCCTTCCACGGGTATTCCTCTGGAACTCATTCTTCTGGCAGAAGCTCAGCTCCAACGCCTCAGGGGCATACTCCTACAAATCAGTTGCAAGGTATGATACTGCAGTAGCAGCATGAGGATGCTCATCCTCCTCCTGCAGGTGGTCTAAGCGACGACACGCTGATATCTTCTCTTATGATATGATGATAGTGCCCATTCATGTTGGGAAAACTGTAAGTGTTCTGAGACTAAGGGTCATTTGTCATCTTCTTCTCAGCATTGGGCACTTGGTGTAGTAGATCTGAAGGAGTGCACACTGAGCTATTATGATTCACTTGGAGCATCCCATCCTAAGTTCTATGAGTACGCACCTGGCCTCTGTTATGATGGCTATACTCGGGTGATGTAGTTACATATCACGATATATCGAGGATGAACATAAGGATAAGGGATCCAAGGTACCACTACGAAACCCCAGTGGATGGCAGCGACGTGATGCAGTTATTACACCTACTTGCACTGTAATGAGATGACTCCCCTTCAGGTGTGTTAAGCGTATAGTAGGTACCTCGTCAAAATAATTCAAACGATTGTGGAGTATTCATGTGCATGTTCGCCGAGGCTGTATCAGGAGGGAGGTACGTCGAGTGGGGCTTTGCTGCTGCTCCTCGGTTCCTTCATAGTCTTCATGAATTTAGTATTATTCTGATACGAACATGGATCATATAGTTAGATGGTGTGGTCAGGTCCATTACGGAGGTATCTCAAGACATTATTGTTGATATGCGGTATAAGATGGCATGCCAAATATCCGCAGGACGTGTTCCTGGACCGACTGACTGACGACACCTATCGTTGAGGAATTCTCATCGTCCAAACGTAGACTAAGCCCTTCTGTGTTTCTATTGTCACACGTTCTGTGAACTATTATCCTTTATAGTCCCTTTGGTTTGAGTGACTCACTCAGAGTGAGGCTCATATGATGGGTTATTCATGTGATCTACACCTAGGGCATCCATGCCCTGGTAATGGCTTCTCCAAGCATTGCCTTTTTCTAATGTATGCCAGCTTCACCCGTGGATGCACAGCCCTCGCGCCTCTAGCTGCCCCTATAGCTGCCGCGGTATTGATAGGCTCATCTGGTAGGCTGTCTTTGGCAGAGGAGAGGGACTCCATTGGTGGGACAACGTTGGAGGAGAGTCGGCGGCGGCCGAAACATGCCCAAGTTGTGTGGATGTTCGGCGATAAGAGCTCCATACCGTATGGTGCGGGGAGTGACCTCACCAGGTGATATCGTACTAGCAGTAGTGTCTCCCATGTTGCCTTACTTATCATAGGCCGACTCCTATACAGTGGTTCGCTCTCCATGATTGTGGTTGGCAGCAAGTAGTACTAGGGAAACGGTTCGGTGCAGCTCGAGATGCGAAAGGTCGGGTATATGTGTGGGGACAGAAGAAGGCAACAGAGTTATCTGAATCGGATAAGAGGCGTTTGAGGAGGATGGAGTTGCCTATCCCACAGGGAGCGTGGGTTGGGCTAGCTGAGTATTATCCACGTACTTGGTACGTACTAGGTATATTCCTCCTCTATTACTGAAGTCGTTGGAAGGTCAAGAGGCAGTCGACTTACAGGTCTCTGCAGACAGGGTCTTTGGTAGCTGACAGGGTGTAGCTATGGTCCTGTTGATGGCTGACTATACTCAGTTCTAACATCACGAGGGAAGGTATTGACATGGTCTATCGAGGAGCTTCTCGACTCGGTAGATGAGACTGGATCGGAAGGACCGACCAGTACTCTCCAACCGAAGGAGTTTCAAGGGTTACCTACTATAAAGTGGTGGTGGGTACCTAGAGGTGAGTATTATCAGTCTTCCATGTAGTGTGATACTGATGATGCTAGGCTGGGGTAACGCCATTCGATCGATGTCGGTGGGCCGTAGACATGCCGGGTTTATTGATGACTATGGTCATACCTATATGGTTGGGGATAATACTTTTGGGCAGTGTGGCAGGAAGATTAAGGCTAAGAATGTTAATCCAGAAGTAGCATGAGGTTTGTAACTTGAAGTCGCTACGGAGTTGTTGTAGGATGGTACTCTCATGCCCCTACAGGAGAGTAGGGACCCTCCGGATTGGTTCGGTATTCCTGCTAAGCCTCTGCTCAGTGTACCTGGGAAGGCCTCGCAGGTGGTGCACATTGTCCGGGTGTTGTAGCATGTTAAAGTGTCCATATCAGGTATCATGTGGTGGTAGGCATACTATGGTACTAGGTGAGGATGGTAGGGTGTGGGCTTTTGGGGATGATAGTAGGATACAGTTGGCTCTAGGGGATACCAGGTAGTGGCAGCAGTGAGTACACTACGTATAGTATTGTAGGTCTAAGCCGCAGGACATGATGGGTCCTGGTAAGAGAGGTTGGCAGAGTATATACAATATGGGTGATGAGAAGATGCATAGGTTGGAGGATAACAACCCTCATGCCCCACGAGTGGGTTCATTGATGCTGCTGCTGCTCTTGTCATGGATATTGAATCTCTGCTCAGGTACAGTATAGCTACTATGACCCTCATTGTCAATGGCGCCCTAAACTAACCCAGCAGCCTCCACCACGTAGTGGTAAACCATTTACATCCCCATTATGGGTACACCTTGGTAATAGAATATCTGTGTTTTGTCATGAAGATGAACCTGACTGGGCATCAAAGCGTCCCCCGGAAGGTGGTGGATCATTGATGTGATAGTGATGCTATGTGTAGCTGATCTCAGAGAGTCAAGAGGGACTGAGTATTCTCGATGAAGAGAAGGCACGTCGGTCAAAGGATGTTGAATGCAATATCCTCTTCGCCTGTGGAGAGAATCTGTATGGGGAATGTGGGAGGAATACACAGCGACATCAGCAGTCCCTCTACCCAGTCAGACTCCCTAAGTGACGACGACCAACGCCATTCCTTCATAGAGGGTGATGGCATCGTTTACAGGTTCACTAAAGTAGAAGAGGTGCAATGCGGATCCCATCACTGCCTGTGTAGATTAAGTGATGGTACTGTATACACCTGGGGGAAGAACCAGCATGGGCAGGTAACGAGGGTTGCGGTCACGATAGGTAGTGCCTTGGGAATATATATTCAGGGAGGTGTTGGCAACCGGGCGACTATCTGCCCGCCAGCAGCAGTGCTCGGCAGTAGACAGCGAGGGCCCCTGAGAGAAGATGTTGAGACTAATAATAGCACAGTACGTAGAGAGGTCAACACCGGGTCTAAGGTAATAACAGGCTCCTGATTTTACTGAGAGTTGGGGGTCTCAGGATGTGAGCGATACGTCCTATATTGCCTTTGATGAGAAGGGTATGATACCAGTGCCTGAGGACACACGTACATGGCAACAGAGGATGGAGGCATGGGTGGCTGATATCAAACACATGTTCATTACGGTAGTATGTCAGCATAGGAAACGCGGAAGGGTAAGGTAGATACTGTATATTAGGAACCTTCAATGCTTGACCTGGAAGAAGAGTCTAAACCTAGTGAACGTACTGGCATACAGGAGAAGTATCAGCTCACAACAGATGGTAGGGTTCTAGCCATGTTTTGCTATGAGCATGATCAATCAGAGCAAATGCCTTGGCGTCCAATTGGTATTGCTGCTGGGGGTAACGCTAGTGCTATCATAGCTGTATGGGAGCAGTCTGTAGCGGATGATATCTCTGAGGAACGAGAGAAGCAGAGACAGGATAATGCAGCGCTATTGATGCAACAGATGGCTGAGTTGGAGAAGAGGAAGGAGGCTCTTGATGCAGGAGTCGCCCCTACTACCGTTAACGAGGATAAAACTGATGCATGACTCTCCATCTAGTGGGTAATATCTCAACATGCTTTTATTCCTGAGATTGCGCGAAGTTTCTGATCTCTATGATATGTTACGTTCTATGAGATCTTCGGACACTATCAGGATTATCCTGACCTTCCTGGCTAGCGGTAATCAACCCATCATGTTCGGGGTATATGGGAATAGTATTTGGGCAGCATTTCGTAGGGTATCTTTTTTGAGGTCTGCTCGATCTGACAGTGCGACAGTATAGCCTCTTCTGACAGTGGTTTGGCGTGCCTAGTATAATGAACCCCGCTGGACAATCGCCGTCGACGAGGCAGACTCCCAAGAGGAAGGCGGCACAGAAGAGTGGGTACAGCACTGGCAGTAGGAGTGGTGATGGTGGTCAGAGCAAAGGAGGTAGGGCATGCATTTGCTCAACGCTCTGGTACACAATGTCAGGTCAACACAAGACCACCCGAGGAGGAGGAGCTAGTACTGCCCTTACCAGCAAGGACTTGGAAAAGGGTCCGTTTGCCAAGTACTAGTGGGCCCCTGTCCAACGCGGACTACGATAAGTACTTGTAGGTTCGCTGAGAAATGGTCGAAGGGCACGCCGAAAAAGGTTGATTCTGCATTCATCGACAAGGTTGTTAGTAGCCTGAAGGAGGTGGAGTATGATACTAAGAAGATGAGCATACTGGAGTATTCGGGATATCTCGAGAAGTACCTCTGGCCTCTCTTTGATTCGGATAAGGCAACGGTAATGATGATGATGATTTTCCACAAAGTTCGGGCTGTTGTATGTATTGTCCTCAGGACTCGCATGTGTTCTCTATCATCTTGATGTTGAACGAGAAGTTCAGGACCTGTACTTTTCAAGTGAGCCTCACCCCACAACCATAGGTGGCTATATCCTTACGTCTTCAGCCCTGGGACTCCTTAACTAGTGATGATCCACAGAAGGTAGACGCGTTCTTCCAGCGAGTGTTCAAACTGTCTAAGCTGGAGGACCGAGAAAAGGCCATGTGGATCCAATTCCTCGGTAGCATTCCCATAGCCTCTTGTGTCTGGGGCTTCCTGATTGATCTCGATTAGATAATGCGTTCCTATCGTTGGAGGTAGATGAAGTATGCCAGGCATGCCTCCGCTTGGTGGGATTGCCTTGTTGGTTGATGCTCAGTGAATCATGTACTACAGAATGTCGCTCTACTCACGATCTAAGTCATCTATATACAGATCGAGAGTTTGCCCTACGTGAGGCCCAAACAAGGGTGCAGAAGAGGTTCAAGTCGATGAAGAAGAAATACTCTGATGCCGAGCCTGGTAAGTGATACCATCCCACTGTTCTTTCTCATGCACCATTTTGTTCAAGTATAGGTTCGAAGAAGTACGTTGAGGTACATTTCATACCCGATCTGATAGACAGCTTCTTCGACTGGATGCAAGGCCTTACGGAGCTCACTAAGGCCGGAATGATGTGAGTCTCCGATGTTGCCGACTATTATAGCTAATGTGGGTATTGACCCAGGTATATGGAGCGGTTTATCGAGTTCCTTATTGACCTACAGAGCCAGCTACCAACGAGGCGTTTCACTCGCCCTCTACTGCATGATAGGATGTTCGTTGATAGAGCTAAAGCATATGATATTGTGAAGTACATAATAATAACGCAACGGCTATCAGTTATACCAGTCAATCTCTCAGGTCTAATGCAGACTCTCTCAAGTTGTTCATGCAGTTGATTGATATACTGGATTTCTATGAGAATTTTGAGGTTAACGACTATACTGCTGAGCACCTAGACAAGACTCATGTAAGAGGCTTCAACGTGGCTCAGGAGTTGTCGTGGCTATCCCTCTCTTAGGTTGAGCAACGCCTTTATTTTTCCCATGACCACTTCCGGCAAGTATGCTTTGATGCACCTGAAGACAAGGAGCCCGTGAGAGACCTCGGTCTCCTGGCTGCACGAAATCTTGGTATTCTGATCGCAGCGTTTGGTTCGAGGAATCATACGTCATCGCTGTAGATACCGAGAGTAAGATAACTTCAGCCCTGTCTCGAGTTAGTGATGATGATCTCGTGGACCTTTGTGCCGCAGCATGCAGAGTGGACAGGTGGGCAAGGGGCGCATCCATCGAATCATACTCAGGCTTCTCCTCCCTCAGGAATAAGCTCCTGGAGTACTCCGAGTCTCTTGATCCTCAAGGCTCCAAAGAAGAAGACCCCGCCAGGGCACGAAAAAGTGAGTTCGGAGACGAGAGCAAAGCTATTGAACATTTCCTTTTTGCCGTTCAGAGAGCCGTGGTTCGCATATCTCTAGGCTTCGAAAACTGTGTGTTGATGCGTTGGTCCATGATCTGGCTGAGAGACGTAGCCAGCTAGAGTACATTAACGGCTTGCCACTGTTCCCAGACGAGAAGCTCCTATGGGATCCCAATCTGGTGAGTACTCCCTATTGTTCTTGGAGGTACAATATCCTCCTCATCGTTGTCATTGTACAGGTGCCATCAGAACACTACTCGGGGGAGTATTCCCTCGCTCTACCCAAACTAAACCTCCAATTCCTTACCATATCTGATTATCTGTTACGCAACTTTAAGCTTTACCGTCTGGAGTCTACCTATGAGATTCGTGGTGACTTCGAGGATGTGGTAAGTGGAAGTATCAGTATGAATATTCTATACATTCCTCGGTTCGCAGATACCGAGACTTAATATGACACGTCAGACTGCAGATGGCCCTGCTCGGATCATGGGCCAGTCACGTATGGCGGTCGAGTTGAAGGGTATTACGATAGTCAATGTGAGGAGTCCTAATGTTGGAGAAACTATTCCCAGTGAAGTCCGAGCGGAGATAACGTAACTTAACAACTGTTGCTATTTACTCTGACTAAGTGGTAACGGACTTCGAGGTACTCGCTACGTAATGTCCTACCTCATGTAAAGCAGGAATGGGATGAGCTCCGTGAACACGACTGTGTATTCATGCTATCAGTAGACGAGGGATATACTACTCGTGAGGCTTCAACTCGCATTGGTTCATGTCAGATCGATCCACCAACCCGAGACAAGGGGTTCAAACCAAAGAACCTCCGTGAGCTCACCATATCAGATTTCCCGGACTATTACGGTGTTAAAAAGGTAAACGTGAAATTGATTTACAGCAAATGGTGATGTGCCATATGGTAGGTGCGTGGTGCTGTAGTTATCGAGCTCCTTGATGAAGAGGGGAATGTCCTTTCCGAGTATAATAAAAAGGAGCCTGTAGGGGATCTCAGAACTCTCAAGGTTGGCACCATCAGTGCTGTTCACTCGAGCGCTTTGAGCCATGTTCTATTACTAGGTGCATCTAGATTGTGCACAGTATGCAGCAGACTTGAATAACATGGAGGCAGAGATATACTCCCAGTTCAATGTGTTGGTCCGGCGCAAGGCCAAGGAGAACAACTTCCGTTCAGTGTTGGCCACTATTAGAGGCTTGATGAGTAGCCCCGATACGGTACTGTACTATAAGTAGTTCCCACGCAAGACGTGTCTTCATCCATGCAGGTGATCCCTGACTGGCTGCATGATCTCTTCCTTGGTTATGGCGATCCATCTAGTGCTAACTATCGTCAGCTCAATCCATCTCGATCAAGTAAGCATAACAACATCATTTATATATACCTAGAGTCTGCTGGGATGTGGTATTCTATGGTTGCCCTCAGCCATCGACTTCCGTGATACCTTCGTTAGTAAGGAACATCTCTTAGCGGTGTATCCCAACTGTGATATGACCGAGGCCGATCAGCCACCGTACGATACTATAGCCTTACACCAAATGCTAACCGAATGCATATTATAAGCAGGTACCAGGTGTTCTTCGCCCCGGAGGAGAAGGAGGACGGGACTAGCATGGAATCCATGAAGGCGAAGAGTGTTGTACCAGAAGTCCGAAGCCCCTTCCCACAACACCAACCCAAGAAGAATACTGTACCGTTTACTAAGACGCAGGTGGAAGCTATACGTAGTGGGGTATCTATCGGCCTTACAATGGTCGTTGGACCTCCAGGTAAGATGACTTTAATAGCCAACTTGAGTTGACCAATATATCGTGGTGATGCTTATCAGGCACTGGTAAAACCGATGTGGCAGTGCAGATAGTTAATCTGTTGTATCACAACAATCCCAATCAGAAGACATTACTGGTAAGTGGTTATTCACCGCAAACAACGTGACTGCTTGCGTAGATCGCTCACTCCAATCAAGCTTTGAATGACCTATTCACGAAGATCCAACAGTTGGATATCCCAGGAAGCAGGCTTCTACGACTTGGAAGAGGTAGTATTGAAGACATGATAGACGTCTCAAAGAAGGCCTCCTACCGGAGGCTGGATATCGCGAGATTGTGCAGCATCATTTGGCGTATCAGGTCAAGAGTTGTTGGAACTAGATGAGGATTACTCAAAGATGGGAAGAGTATCATACATGTTGCAGATGCGATTGGATCTGCTCGAAGGTAGCCAGACTCGACACCCCGCCAGTCACCATTATGCCATCCATTCTCAGAGGTCAAGAAGCTGGCTGTGGAATTGGGTCAGAGCCCTGAGGATAACGCCTTCTCGGTGGAGAATGCAATGCAGGTACTAAGAGGCTCATCCGGTGTTCACGGTAAAGGGGGTATTCGTCATCTCTTGTAGTTCTATCGATTCCATGTCGTAAGAGCCTGGCAAGAGTATTGTGCCTCTGTGAACGCCTATATATCGGGAGGTGGCGCTAGGCAGGAGGAGGCAAAGGATGCTATCGTTAATGCGAGACAGAAGCAACGAGAGAAGGTAGGGGATGCCGCTTACAGTACTGTGTGGACATTCCTAATGCTGCCGCTTAGGCTGAGGATGACGAAGTGATGACATCTGCACCGGTGCCTGGGAAGGTTGGTAATGATGTATCGGGAGGTGATCAGAAGCGGGAGGCGGATAAGGCTGCTCTCGAGAATCGCTCTATGGCTGAGATCATGTTCCCTTTCCAGAGGTAATATGTCAGGGAGGAGCTGCCTGACGAACTCCATATCAGGTATTTTGCCTCTGCTATCGATGGTAAATGGAGTAATGACATCCATAAGGACTTGGAACTAGCTACGGTATGCTGGAGGTGAGACATTACCAGTCATGACTAACCTTGCCCATTGGAGTGTATCGTCTTGCTTACCCCAGGCATATTGAGGATATGTTCACTCGCCTAGAAGAGACACATCCGTTCGAGCTACTACGTAACTCCCATGATCGTGGTATATACCTCCTAACCACCCATGCTAAGATTGTGGCTATGACCTGTACTCATGCCGCTTTGGTAAGCAACAGGATAAGTAGTCGATCAACCGTCATGCTTCTTGTAGGTCCGTGATACCTTACTCAAGCTCTCTTTCCAGTATGATAATATTGTAATGGAGGAAGCTGGACAGGTTAGCATAGATCGGTGATGACGTACCATACCGGATCCTCTCAGGTCCTGGAGATCGAGACCTTCATCCCGATGCTACTGCAGAAGAAGAGTAGTGTCGATAGCAAGTCGAGTAGGCTGAAGAGAGTGGTACTTATCGGAGATCACCAACAGCTACCACCTGTTGTTAAAAATCGGGCCTTCCAGAGGTAATAACGCATTTGGCGTCGCAGTTCCGAAAGCCGTTGTCGACCTTAGATATGGTAGATTGGACCAGTCTTTGTTTGCACGCTTTGTCCGACTGAAGAGCCCCACCATTAATCTGGATATGCAGGGCAGAACCCGGCCTTCCATTGCCAATCTCTATAGATGGCGATACCCAGGTCTCGGGGACTTGCCCAATACTAGAACGGGCAAGGAGTATAACGAGCTTGCTAACACTGGTCTTACATACGAATATCAATTTATTGATGTACCGGTAAGTAGTGAAAGTATTCCAAGTCTCCTCGACAATGGAATAGAACGTCAACTGTCAGGATTTCGAAGGCCAAGGCGAATCGAGTCCCTCTCCGTACTTCTACCAGAATCTTGGAGAAGCTGAGTACTGTGTGGCAATGTTCATGTACATGCGGCTCTTGGGGTGAGTACTGCAAGGAAGCCTTACAGCATGAGCGACTAGCCTTCTATCGCTTGCCTATCACGGACACTATCTCCTGTACGGAGTTTATCAACATTTCTACTATGTTTAGATACCCCGCCGATAAGATCACCATTCTGGCGACCTACAATGGCCAGAAGCATCTCATACGAGATGTTATCAAGTCTCGATGCTCATGGAATCCTCTATTCGGTCAACCTAAGACGGTACTATTCTGCTAGTCAAGTAATTGTTCATCATTCTACCATTGATTTAGGTCACGACTGTAGATCGCTATCAAGGTCAGCAGAATGACTATGTCATCGTATCTCTCGTACGCACCAACCATGTGGGGCACATCAGAGATATTCGAAGACTTGTGAGTGCTCGGCATCGTCTATGTAATAAAATATCATTCTTCTTTTCTCAGACTGTGGCATTATCGCGGGCAAGGTTTGGTCTGTACATATTTGGCCGTCTTTCACTCTTCCGAGACTGTCTAGAGATGGCACCAGTGTTCAATCTGTTGCTTGCTGATAGTAGACCTACGAAGCTTTCTCTGCAGCTCCGTGACAACAATGGCAAGTGAGTGCTAGGAATTTCAGATGGGGTGTAATGATGACTTGATCTTGGTAGCTTCTACTCTTCCAGATACCCCACGTCTCGCTCGCTAAGTGACAGAGCTGGGGAGACTCTTGTCACAGATGTGAAGGATATGTGGAATGTAATATGGGATGGAAGGCTGGCCAAGTATTACGAGCTTCTGGTTAGGTCATTCATGGAGTGGTAAATGCGCAAGCTAGTGCTTTGGATCAAAGTGCACCTGCGGCGGGGGCCTCTAGTGGTAAGAAGGTCAGTAGCGGAGCATCGAAGGGAGATGTACAAGCGGGTGCGGTGCCTGATGCTGCGACGTCCGGAGACACTTTAGAGGATGAGTCGACGACTGGGAAGAATGATGGTGACGATGAGCCAATGCCACAGGCCGTAGAACAGAAGGATTAAGCTGTGTGTGGTCTTTGGAGGGGCTGGTTACGCTAAACATCCCAGGCAACGTTTATATCGGCGATGATATTGATACAATAAGCCGTTTCTTCGATTATGTGCTTGGTTGCAGTTTGAGTTAGAGGCCTCCGAACCATGGCTAGAGAATCGGTAGTGCTGGGGATTTGCAAATTCCTTCACGCTAAGCTTAGCTTAGTAAGCTAAGATCGAGCGGTCACGCGCTATGCAGCTTGGCCTTTCCACAGATTGGTGGTTTTGTAGTTAGTTGTATTGTTTTTAGGCTAATTCTTAGAATGTTTATACCATTTAAATAATCTTGTTCGATTTCAGTTTGTTCATTTATAATAGCTGGTATGCGTTTCTCTCTTTTCGCCCTTTCTCTAATCGGTGCCGCTTCCGCCGAGTGGTGCCAGGAGTTGTGTGATTCATACTCTCCTTGCCATTACTCCAAGTTCGGGTCTTACCCTCAAGAGGATGGTGCTTGCTATGGCTTCTACCAGAAGGGTAAGGGTTTCTGTTTCCAACCGACTGAGGGTGGTGACTGTGATGACGAGGTCCTGAGGCCTGTCTACAGTCCTATGGAGAGACATGCACCTGGCAAGGTCCTCGTTATCTACACTGGTGGTACTATCGGTATGCTGCCTTATGCCAATGGTACTCTTCATCCTGTACCTGGTTACCTTACTGAGCAGCTCAACAACCTTCCTGAGCTCCAAGCTCCTGGCATGCCCGCGTTTGATGTTATCGAGTATGAGAACCTAATTGACAGTTCCGATATGTCCCCCGCTCACTGGGCTCAGATGGCTAAGACTATTGAGGATAACTACGCAGATTATGATGGTTTCGTCATCCTTCATGGCACTGATACTATGGCCTACTCTTCGGGCGCTCTTGACTACATGTTCTCCAACCTTTCAAAGAGTGTTATCATCACTGGCTCCATCCTAGCTTTCGATGAACCTCATAGTGATGCCAGGAGGAATATGGTCATCTCTATCATGCTCGCGGGTCTCTATACTGTTCCCGAGGTGAGCATTTTCTTCGATACTGAGCTCATCCGTGGTACTCGTGCTGTTAAGATTGATAGTGGGGCTATCGAGGCCTTCGAGTCCCCCAAGTTCCCTTATCTTGCTACCATGGGTGTCGGCCTTGCCTTTGACAAGGAGCTCATTCTTCCTGCTCCTACTGGTCCGTTCTCTGTCCAGTCCAATATGGAATCTTCCATTCTCCCTATCAGAGTTATTCCCGGTCTCTCCAGTTTTGAATCTCTCACTCCTGAGGCTGTGAAGGGCGTTGTCCTCCTGCTTTACGGTACTGGCGATGCTCCCTCCAACCAGGCTGCTTTCACTGACTTCCTCATCGAGTGCCAGGATCTTGACGTGCCAGTTGTTGCCGTTTCTCAAGTCCTGCGTGGCGTTGTTGAACTCGCTGACTATGCTGCTGGAGCTCAGCTTCTCGATCTCGGTGTCATCAGTGGCGGTGATATGACACCTGAGGCTGCTGTGACGAAGCTCAGTTACATGTTGGGTGCTGGTATGAAGACCTCCGATATTGCTAAGGACTTCGGTGTTAACATCCGTGGCGAGATCACTATGAACGACACCTCTGCTGAGGATCCTTTCCGTGATCTCTCTTTCGGTCAGTAATTTTAATGCATGCTGCTCGAAGATTGCGTATAGCTAGTTCCCCCAGCCTTGCTGCTTTTTCTGCTAATACAAACCTCTTAAGAGTATATTAGCTTGCTATGATAACCATTACTAAGCTATAGCCATCTATTGATGGCAGTCCTCGCTCGGCGAGACTTTTCACGAGAGAGTTGTTTAGAAGAGCTTTATTGGCTATCGTGCTCTTTTTAGGGTCGGGTCAGAATGCAATAGCTTTCTCCCAATCGGAGATGGAATTGTGTTAGTTGATAAATCGTCGGTAGGATCAGAGTGAAATTCGACTGACAAGGAGTGGCTCAGAGTTTGTGAGTCACTCAGAGTACTACCTGTTCCTGAGAAGCTCGACCACTCCTCCCATGGCATGTATGGTACATGTCTTCCTGTTTGACAGACAACCTTTCTTTGGTCTTGGGTCTTGTATGCCTCTTGCTTTGGATCAGGTTGACGATCCCATTGAGACCCATGTCCCTCTTCGACTTGGTGCGGGGTAGATGATTAGTATTTATATTTTCTCTGCTTGTAGTCACTGCGTAGTCGCTGCGTAGTCGCTGCAATGTCGTGTTATCGTCTTCTTGGGTTGCCTGGTTGCCTCACTATGATGTTCCAGAAGTAGCTGCCAATTAAGGATGTGCATATTGCATCCATGTTCTTCGTTCACACAACATGGCTTGATGGTTTCGGGAGGAATGCCTTTTCCACACTGGAAGGTTGTATCATTCATTTTCGGTCATTGGCCATCTATTCTAATTAAATTCTATCTTGTTGATGATTGTGATCGACTTCCGCAGAGTAATGGGGAATAGTTTTCCGTCTTGCAAGCATCGGGTTCTTGAGAGCCCTGATGAGGGTATCCTTCAGTTTGGTCGCACAATGAGGCGTTCCTTCAATGTGAGCTTCTCGGCCGAAGGGCCCTTACAGAACGACGGGCAGGTGGAATCGAGCATCGTGCTGATACGAGCACCTATTATGCCTATGTTACTCGTGGATGGTATTGAGTATGCTGTCCTTAAGGCCCCCTTCAGATGTCCTCTCAAGCGGGAGGATGTTTCTGGGCGTACAGCTGCTCCAGAGGCCACTATCAGTGCAGGGAAGACGCTTGGGTGCCGGCGACGGTATGGACTACCCGAAACCATTCTACGGTACAGACCACAGAGCGAGGAGAGGGACGTAGAAAATGAGCCTACATCGCGAGTCGAGGAACCTGTACGGGATGGGTGCCAGCTCGTATTATGGCGGGGAGAGGACGGGTATGAGGTTTCTGTCGATCCTCGTCTCTCTGCTGTATTGAGAGAGCATCAGAGGTAGTATGCAACCACATTTCCGCTTTGTTAGTAGCCTGTTCTAGGCAAGGCGTCCAATTTGTATTCAACTGCCTCATGGGTCTCATTGATGACTTCGAGGGTGAAGGCTGTATTCTAGCGGATGATATGGGATTGGGGAAGACCCTGCAATCCGTAACGATAGTATGGACGCTCCTCACTGCTAACATAGCCAAGAACCGTGGGCCGGCTATCGAAAGGTAGGGAGTGATACTGTTGCTAGGGCTACACACAGCTCAGTCTAGCAGGGCTTTGGTAGTATGCCCGGCAGCATTGGTCAAGAACTGGGAAGCTGAGTTTGCAAAATGGCTGGGTGAAAGCGTCAAGGTTTGCGCTGTTGCAGAGAGTCAACGAGATAAGGTCATTGGTGCCTTCACCGGATTTCGGTTCGTTATCTTACCTCGGAGTCTTCCTTCACCCATCCCACTTAGATATAATCGAGACATGCGGGTCCTAATTGCCTCATATGAAACATTCAGAAATCATTGTCAACTACTGGCTGACTGTCCTATTGGCCTCTTGGTGTGTGATGAGGCCCATCGGCTGAAGAATGATCGCACAAAGACAGCAGTATGTATCAATGGGCTGCGGACACGAAAGAGACTACTCCTATCGGGCACACCTATCCAGAATGACCTCGACGAGTTCTTTGCTATGATAACCTTAGCAAATCCTTGTCTAGCTGAGGAGAAAGGCCGCAACAGCTTCCGAAGACGATTCGCTACCCCGATCAGTAAAGGGAGGGAGCCTGAAGCATCGCCAGAAGAGAAGGCTCTAGCTGATGAGCGGCTAGCTGAACTGAGCGATATGAGCAACAAGTTTATATTGAGAAGGACCAACGCCCTATTGGCGAAAGTAAGATCTATTTCACAACACAATGTACAGAGTCGTACAAGGTACTACCACCTAAGCAGATCGTTGTCGCATTCGTACGGCTAAGCGATATACAGATTCGGCTATACAAGGCGTTCATAAGCAGTGACTGTGTGCAGACGACTGTGGCTAGGTCTGCTAGTAGAGGGAAAGTCGGCAAGAATGTATTGTCACTGATCCAAAGTTTAACGAAGTTATGTAACCATCCATCCCTTATTCGACGCTTCGATAAACGATGTGATAAGGGGTTCGAAGCTGCGGATAGCGTGTTTGCAGAGCTTGATGGGATCACCCGTGCAGCAAAGCAAGCAGGCAACAAACGTGGGGATCAAGTTATGTAGGGATAAGACAGCGTTGCTAAGTTCGCCACAACCTGACCTTCAGTATATCAGCTTCAGCGAAGTTCTTACTGGTATATAATCTCCTTCGGACTTTGAGGACCAGAGATGGTCGTAGCTGTGACCGAGTGGTCATCATATCTAACTATACACAGACTATCGATCTGTTACAGAGAATGTGCCAAGAGCAACAGTGGCCGGTTATTCGTCTTGATGGGAGCATTGGGGTGAGGGTCTGAAGCTCCATGATAGGTGTTGATGGCATGTTATTATTCAAGGTGAAGAAGCGGCACTCGTTGGTGTCAACCTTCAACGACCCCAAGGCCGATGCTTTTGTCTTTCTGCTCTCTTCGAAAGCTGGTGGCTGTGGGCTGAATCTCATAGGTCCTCGGTAGAGAGCTGTACTGCTATCACTATTCACTGTGCTGTACCCTTAGGTGGAAATAGGCTTGTTATGTTCGATCCTGATTGGAACCCTGCTAATGACAGGCAGGCTATGGCCAGAATATGGAGGGACGGCCAAACCAAGGTCTGTTGGATATACAGACTCCTCTCTACTGGTAAAGTTACTCAATGCTCAGAGCTAGACGTTGATAACAGGCACTATCGAAGAGAAGATATATCAGCGGCAGATGAAGAAAGATAGCTTGAGCGAACTAGTAGTTCAAGAGGAGCCTCATGAATCAAGAAGCCGTCGAAGCTCATCATCATCTTCATCATCTTCATCATCGTCACCTGGTCTTGTAAGTGGCACCACTGAGAAGAAAGTTGCGGGGTCTTCAATGTTCTCTGCCGCTCATCTGTAAGACCATAAATAGATGCACAACTCCCACCAAGCGAGCCCTATCAGTTATTGTGTTCCTTGGCTCAGGCGGAACTTGTTCATGCTCCAGGAGGATACTGATTCCGAAACGGTCGATGCTCTTCATTGTCGTTGCCCCTCCAACAAAGCTAATCACAATGAGGATGATCTCACCACGTGGGATGTTTTCGAAGGTGGAGAGTATTTCTGGGTGACTTCGTCTATCGTCAACTGACCGTCGTTGCCAGGGAATTCTCTCGCTTCTTCGACTGCGTTTGATGATCCGCCATTAATTGAGGCAAACCAAGCAGCAGGGAGTGTTGTATCTACAGCGATGAGATGCCTGGTGCGGTTGTCTACAGACCCAGATGATACTCCCGACGACAATATCTGTGGTAAAAGAGCCTCTTCACTTGTGACTCGTAGCTATAGCTATTGCTTTTCTCACAAGTCGTCGATCAGACTCCATCAACACCAACAACAAGAAACAGAAGAAATCCGGGGCAGAGCATTAGGACTTCTCAACGTGCACTCCTCTTGCTGCACACCATCTTGTGTTTCGTAGGTCTTTCGAGTACATAGTCTATCCATGGTCCTATAGTGCTTTCTTCAGCGATATACCCACAGTGTTGGGTTATATGTTGCCTTCAGCTATAGAATGCCGTCTTTTCTCTGCGTCTTAGCTGTGAACATTTTATGGTAGACTCTCGTGCGGATGATCTCCGAGCTCGGCTTCTGGCCAGCAATACACCACCGGAGTTCATCCCTGCATCCTGGGCAGAACCGTCCCATGGGACCTCACCGGTCAGTCAGCTTTCATTAGATATCGATACTGATCATTCTCATCCCCCAAGGCATCAAGGTATACAGCCATGGTGAACCATGACATATCTTCAGTAGTTTTACCCACGTCAGGCCGATCCGGTGATTGGACTGTGGACTTTCAACAACCTGCATCCCCTCGATACTCAGAGGCAGGGTCTCTGAGGGCAGCGTCAGATCAAGCTGGGGTAAACTTCAATTTAGGAGACTCGCGATCAGATGTCGGTACCCCGAAGAGTCAGTGCAGTGAAGGGTAGCAGATATGATGGATCCTGATTACAGTTCAATATTGCAGGCACGTGAATGCTGTACCTTTGGTGAGTACCACCGATGATGTTATCGCTGCTCGAAGGAAAACTGACCAAGTCGGTGGAGTCATATCGGGGCGCCGTAGACGAAAGAACGTAGCTGGTAGTGGGTGGTTTTGTCGAGACACCGACCAATGGATCAACTACTCCTTATAGATCGGAAGCATGACGAATCTGCTGGGCGTGTATATGGTATCGCGATCGGCGATAAGATAGATCTGAGGGCTATCGCTAGCAAATGGGAGATGGTCACCGGTGAGGCAGGCTTATGATACGGTTCATATTTGCCCTTGTGTAAGGTGGCAAGGCCGCGAACCCTCGAAATCCTCTGAAGGCATTCTCGGTCGAGCCTGAGGGCTTGGAGGGGATAGTATTGGAACTTGATGTATACTGCGCCTATGCGTTCAAGCATCTAGCAAGTGGTTGCAGGTCCTTGATCCTGAGGTGATTCACATGAAGACATTTGATTGGTGAGTACAACATCTATAAGTGGAGGGTTCTATGCGGTCAGACCTCCGTCGAGTAGTGCATCTTCAGGTTAGATTGTTTCCTCTTCGATTTCGGCTGCATAGTTTTCTGGGGTCTTAGTGCCGTGGAAGGGCGCACGCTCTTGAATGTCATCAGACCGTATGCAAGTTAGATCGCTTCTATTGTGTTATATGTCTATCTAGCAGGTACGTTCGGAAACCAGCAGCTGAGACTTTTGATGATTACATGGTGTGAGTTGTCAGTATTGCTGCTGTCCTTGAATTTCCTGATCGATAGTTATACCCCAGCATGTGCCCGAACGGAAGAGACCGAAGAGGAGAGGCATCAATCTACCATCGTGAATGATAATATACATCTATCCACAGACGGCGTGTAGTACTGCTGAGTTGCCCGGATGCTATGCTACTCATGTTGTTCACTCCCTTTGAGGTACGAACGACTTGCATACAGCTACGCTTTCGGGCAATCGGTGAAGCTTGATCTTTTCGAATGGTCGATAGATCGTACAATCCAAGGCACGAGGAACATTCCAGAGAATCTAGCCAGGACCGGTAAGATAGGCATCGGGATCAGGGAAGTTACCAAGAAGGTGGGCACTATAATAGGGAAGTGGTAGTATTATGCCGTTGCCCTTCCAGATGGGTGAGCTCTTTGTTCAAAGGAGTAACATTAACCTCCACAGTGATATCCTGGATACCCCTGATGTCTTTTGGTACGTACTTGTGGGGCCACGCCAATGCGACATCGTCTCACGATTACTGCTAATATCAGGGAGTTCGACCTTATCGAGAGAGTGTACAATATGTGCCGAGACTATCTCGATGTTCATAAGCGACTCGATGTACTCAATCAAAAGCTTGATATTATGAAGGACATGTACGAGATGATACAGGTAGTGCTACTGCTGCCGGGGTTTGGCACTGAATGGCCTGAAGCTCTGAACACCTATATCTTTCAGAACGAGTTGAATGTCGAACACGGGAATAAGCTGGAAGTTATAGTTATCATTCTGATTGTTCTAGAGGTTGTTTTAGAGGTGAGCTTAAGGTCACTCGATCACCCGTTAAATGAGTTTCCTTCTTCCTCATGTTTGCAGTTAGCTCAAGTTGCCGTTACTCTGATACATGAATGAGAACATTGCATCTCCTATGGTGACATTGTGATATCCTAGCGTGCTTCTGACGATTTAAAGCTGCACTATCACATGTTTGGTCATCATTGGTAGGGGGATAGCTGATAGATATTTCTACAGTGCTTGTTATTGGATTTCCTCTTGAATGCCCAACTTGAGGCCAAGTCTCATGCCAGTCGCCAAGGAGCAGAGCACCAATCCAATGCGACTCAGGCGCGGACCCGAGACCATGAGAATCGAGTTGCTTGCGTCGATGATTGATGAAGGGCTTTTGGGCATCAGGGAGACCATTTGGCACTATGCTAAATCCTTCGCACCTAGAACAATGACCAAGCATAAATCTGATCCTTGGTCCTTCTCTACAGCCCTCATTGGCGATGTAGGCAATGATGCAGTAGCAGTATGGGATAAGTCTGATGGTCTAGTTATGAGTCGAGGCACGTCAGGAGATACTATCATGACGAAACTCCCTGGTGATGTGTCTATGGAACCAGTATTGTATCACAATGGAGTGGTCTACTCTCAAGTCAAGCACGAATCGAAGCTACAAAGGTGGTCTTGCGACACAAATAAAGAACTGGAAGCTACACCAGTTGAATGTGGCACAGGAATGTGGCGCGCGTCGGGTGATTACCTTTTCTGTCTTACTGGTCAGGCCGGGTGCCTCTTCTATCCCATAGCGCATGATACAATACCATCGGAGTGGTCTTTCTGGTTCAAGCCTGTGCGTCGTCATGTTGATTCACTAGACTTATCGAGGGTCTGGTAGGCAGTGGAACAACTACTGGGTCGGCGACATCGGAGCCAACCCATTCAATCGATGTTTTCGTCACATCGAACGTTTGGCAAATTGCCAAACGTTCGATGTCAAAATGCCAATGGCAATGTGTGTATAACTTCTTTTCCAACCGTGATATCCTCTATATGCAAATCAATAATACATCTCTTTCTTATTCATGTAAGCAGGGTATATTGGATTGCTGCCTCATGCCTCACAGCGTAGGGTTAGTAGCTGCGACATCGATTCGTGATCGACTGCGGGTGCATGTTATGGATATGCTTGCTGGTGTCGTACTCCTGACCTCGGAAACTTTCGAGGGCTTCTGCACGGATGATGTGCGTGTGCTAAAGAGTGGTAGATTAGTATACCTGTACGAGGGGTTGGATGATGAGATATCTCTCGGAAGTATGTGGCTAGCTTAGTTCTTGTCTGCTGCCCATCGAGCGGCTGATGATAATCGAACATTTACTGTTCTCAAGAAGACTTGTTTGAACGACTGTGATATGATCTCGAAGTTTCAGTCATTTTTGTTGGATTGTACCACAATTCTACCGAATCATCGATGTGATAATCTCAGGTCTTTGATAAGCGTAGTTCTCTCCTCACAACGGACATGCCATCTCCAATCGAGATCCTACATGATGATGTGCAGTCATCTATGGTGAAGTCCGGCCCGACGGTTCTGACGGATAACAACAGCAAGCGAATGGGCGCACCTTTTTCGTGGACCGAGAGTCTACCCCTTGATGGGACGGACGCCTGCTTTGCAATGACCAGAACTGGGAATATATTGTTCGTGACTATTTCTACGACTGGGAGTATAGGTGCAATAGTGAGTTTTAGCGGCGGCCAAGTCTGGATCTGTATAGTTCCCTTTAGATGGACACTACAGTCTCCAACTCAATCCTTGACGGCTGTATCGGCTTCGAGACTAAGGTGTTATTTGGTGACAGGCAGATGCTCAACGATTTCACTATTGTCCCCCGAGTCACTCTGCAGAGGCTCAGTCGTGAGTATGGTGGAGCAGTACCTTGTAAGTTTATAGTAATACACCCATTTGATCAACTCTTTGTGGTTAGGCAACCGTATGGTACTCCTCCTGGGTCTGAGCCGTGAGCTACTATCTAGTGATCGCATCGTACAGGATTGTATTGGCCACATTGTGAAGGGTTACTCTCGAATCGTTTCTGCGTAAGGTTATTCGTATGGTCAGTGTTGCAGTGCCCCAATTCTACTAGAATTACCCTAGGATAATTCTACGGCGTCGCTCCTGATCTACTGGTGGTGACTATCTCTTCTGTGTAACTTATAGTTAACATTCATGTTCCGCCTTAGTGGCCGGTTAGAGTATGGCGGTTATGATCGGTTCATGCGTGAGTCAATGTTTCAATCTGAAGTTTAAGTCTTCCGATCGACCGAGCAGACGTTGTTCCGTTGAGGTGGGTCGGTATCTTCTCGCCTCCCAGAGTATCCTGGGATAGTTGAGCAACAGCTTCATACTCCACTCGCTACTGCACCATTCATCTCTCATGTGCACTTGCTCTTTGTTACCGCACCTTGTGGAGCGCTCTAGGGTGTTGATACATCACTCGAGAGAGTTACTTCCCGCCTAGTCGACAGTATCGAGTTGATAATGCTAGGGTCTGAGATGATGGGAGTATCCAACTCATCCTATGGGGATATTACTCGTGATGGGCACACTCTCGTCTCAGTTAGTAGTGAGATTGGAATGCGTAGTATACGGTGCTGGAGTTTAGGAGAAGATAGAATGTTGCATTCTCTCTTTTGGTGTGGGGTACAGCAAACATCAGAATCCCACACAGCTACACGTCGTTGTGCGGCATCACTCTCAAGTAGTAATATTGGCTTTGGACCTTAGGCTCCTGACATTCTTTCCACATATGGCAACAACTGATAGCAAGGAAGAACGCGGCATGGTAGGGGAGCATCCTTCAGTGAAAAGGAAAATCTCGAATCGTCCGACCTCTCGCAAGCTGATCAATTCCAAGTCCTATGCTGCCCGCTTGGATGGGCATTCCTCCATGGCCTATTACGGCAACAACGAAAGATATTCGCTTGGGATATTCAGTTACAAGCGCACTAACTCTGGATTCTCATTGTTCTTCTTCGATGTTGAAGAGATGAAGGATTATCCTAGGAACGCAAGCTTCAAAAGGTTCCTGAGCTCCAAGGGATCATTTAAGGGCAGACTGACAACTGGATGTATTCTTGGTGAAACTTTCTATTTCGTTATCAAGGAGGACGAAGAGAATATCCGCCGAAAGCCCCTTGACGGTAAGATTGGTAGACCGATGAAGCTCCCCGAGCCTATCGTTAAGTTGACGGTGGATGCTTGTGGTGAGAAGCTCTTCGCTGTGGGGAGGTCTGGCAAGATCTATATGATGCAAGAGGGGGCCCAAGGGAAGTGGGATAACGTCATGACATTGCCCAAAGGGTCGAGTAAAGGCAGAAGCTCGTTCGAGTTCGAGGATGCTGTTGTCGAGAACGGTAAGGTGGTAAAAGCACTACTTGTGAAGAAGGAACCAAAACATGAACGCATGTGGATGCATGGATGTCCGACTCGTATATGTGTTTGGCAAAGTGATGGCTCAGCCATTCACGAGAGTGGGGAAGTGAATGCCGAGGCAGTTAAGTTCGTCCCGGGAACTGATGGCCGTATTTGCTGTGGTGTATTCTATGAGGATGGGGACATGAACTTCTTCGGTGTCTACGATGTGTTTGATAATGAGTTTCTTACCGAACCGGAGGAAGCTATCTTCTATTCGGGTGAGGAAATCGACGTGTCGTCCGTTATGGTGACTGAGGATTGGGAGGTTGTCGTGAGAGGTTGGGATTATAGGCTCAAGTTGTACGATGCCTATCCGATGTTGTACATTACTACACTGCAGTTGGGGTGTGATGATGATGATGTTCAATCCAAGAGGGTTAAGAGTTCTGGTGGGTGACTTTCAGATGGTAGAACAACTGCATGTACTTTCATTTTTTTCTGTTCGGTTGCTCGATATGAGCTGGTATGATAGCTGTCTTCTGATCATGTTATTCCCCATTGAAGGGCCCTTAATGCAGGTTGGATAGTATTTACACGATGAACCCTGTGTGTTCAAGAACGGCGGCGTCTACGTTGGTAGCTCGTGAGGGAGTTCTGCTCCTGGGAATCTGCATTGGTTATTCTCTCATTCCCTATTTCGACAATTATCATCTTTCTCGATTGTTCATCCACAATTCGGATTGATGCGTGGTTGAGTCTCTGGTCTGTGGTATTCCACGCCTGCCGACTATTGTGGGAACATTAATTGGGCTATATAATGATGCCCCAAGATATGACTATATATCACAGGATATGTCGCTGTGTTGCCTCAATTCTTAACATGTTCAACTCGATTCCACTCGGGCACCTCCAGCCTGGTGGCTAGAGGTGCCAGAACCCCCGTGTCCCCTGGCTGCAGGGCTCGTAGTGCGCGATTTCCTGCATTTCGGCTCCTATTCACCCCAGCCCGGCACTAGTCCTATTTCACTACATCTGCAGTTATTGACCATAGTCACACTACAAGAAGATTCTCCGTTGAAAGTTCACGTTAGGACCTTCCAGCATTATACACTCCAAGCGCTAAACTGGAGTCGTTTCTCGTAATGCTATCGATTAGTGTCCGATGCAATAATTGTGTCGCCAGTACCACGAATTTGTGGATGGACTGCGGAATAGTCGGGGTGTTCAGAGAATTCCGCCGGAATCCATTCCAGAAAGTATTCTTAGAATCGATTCTCAGAATCGATTCCTGGATCATGTTCAGAGGATTCCATTCCCAAATATTCCGGAATGTATTCTGGAATCGATTCCGAAACGCGTTCAACGAATCGCGCTCTCAGAATGAGTCCTCAGAATCTATTCTGGAATGAAAACCTTAATTTTTCGTAACTTGTAGCTCTTCGCTCCGCCCACAAACTGAACTTCCTTCGCCCGCAAGCATAGGCGGAAATTAGCGACTTCGTCAGGCAAGCTGAGCAAGGTAGATGAAGGGATTAAGATTAAGTTGATTAGCATGCAGTTTAAATAGCGTATTCATTTTCCTAGTGCCATCGAGGCTTGAGTACAAGTTTGTTCGAGGAAAATCACGGGAACTTGTACAAAACGAGTTCCACGACTTGTGCGAATCTGTTGATTTGTTGTCGAACGTGGTAGCCTCCCGCGCGCCACAAAATTCTCGGAAAGGAATTTTCGCATTCTGAGATTTCGCTTTCTGGAACGTGTTTCAGAATGCATTCTAAAGTTTTCTGAACACGTTCGGAATCTATTCTGGAACGCATTCCAGAATGTGTTTGGGGGGCTGTTCTCTGAACGCGATTTTGGTGTTTTGCATTCTGGAATGTGTTCTGAGTTTCGGAATGGGTTCTCTGAACACCCCGAGTGTGGCGCGCGCGCACAAACGCCCGAAATCAATTTCTCGTGTGTCAAATGGGAAATTGATTTTGCACTCACATGGTACGTGGGTCTCATTGCATATCATACGCAGCGCCACTGCCGATGTCTCGGAAGTGTCGTTGCAGTAGCGGCGTAGTAGTAGATGTGCCCTCGGGTGAGCTCGAAGTGAATGTCTATAGTCGTGAGCTATCAGAATCAGCACGAATCATCCTCAGAGGGAGTCCCTCTCCAGTGTTGTCTAGTTTTTGATTGCCCATATGTCACCGAGCCAGTTCCTCATCGCAGTATCCACCGGCGTTGTGGCATTATTCCCAAACCTACATCTCGTAGCGGCAATCGGCGCTGTGGGACCTCATGCCCCACATGATGTGAGAACATTCGTGGAAGGATGAGCGCTGTCATCACATTAGTCGAGGTCTCTGGGCCAGGGGGTTTCCTCAACCATCGTGGTTATTACGCGCAGTTGAATTGCAAAATGGAATACTATTCATTTGATCGCTAAGCATCATCTTGTAGGGCTTCGCTGACAGCAACAGAACAAGCTACGACCGTCAACGAGACGTTACAAAATGCTTCTACAACAAGAGGAGACCTGACGGACAGACCATGGCAGTATTCGACATTTCCATTGGAGAGAATGGCGTGAGAACGCGTAAAGTTAGTTGCTTCGCGGGAAGCACAGAAAACTGGAGTGATTTCTAGTATGGAGAGAATGGTGAAGCTGTCACTAGTAATCCTCGACCTTTCAGTTACCATCAGGATAGTCCTACTCATCCCAATTCCCTTCGGGAATATACGATGTACGGCGACCATGGCAAGAGCCGCTACTCCTTCGCCGACTTTGCTCCTCTTCGAACCGTCGACCTAGATCCCTTGAGCCATCTAAGTCAAGCAGCATTCCAAGCTGAGAAAGATAGTCTATCACAGACTGGTAGAAACGGGAATCTCACATCGCGTCGCTTCATTGCGGTGGGCATGGACTCATTGTCGTTGGCCGAAGAGGCTCTGCTGTCGAGAGCAATACAGCTGTGTGAGACGGTACGCACGGCTATCAGAACACAATTCACCACTGGGGTTAACTTCTGCGAGAACTATCACAACGCCGCTAAGGAAGCTACCACAATGGTGCGCAGCTCGGGACGCTATTTATACGAAGTCTCACCGTACTCCTATTCTGTGGGGACTTTGGCGGAAGACTTGCAGTAAATTGCGACCGCATAATCGCTGAAGTGGATGGCACCTGGTATAGGCATCTTTATTAACTTCCTTTTACCCTATCTGATTAGTTGTAGATGTTATTCATGCTGGCATGTTTTGATGGTCTATCTGTTCATATGATCGATAATGTATGTGTTCGACTGCAAAGTTCATACTCAATCACTTCGTGGGTCTTCGCGATAGAGGTTACTGGAATCTTGTGGGAGGACATTGAGGTATCAGCACGATATATTGAATACATGTCATTACTCAGCTCGTTGCTCTTCTGAGATTGAACGGTTAGTTCATGTCGAGCATGTTATGGGTAATTCCCTCCCGGGACACAGCTCAAGGGAGGACGTCAGTCGGACTGGCCGGTCAAAGACACGTTCTCTGATAGACTCTAGTAAAGCCGGTAGGCAGGGAACGACTACTCGAACGGCGGCCTCAGAGGCCACATATTCAATCGATGTTCTCGTCGATAACCAGACTGAATTCAATACTACTCACCACATCAACGAGGCCAAGGATCATACAGACCTCATGTGTTAGCTGTGGGCGTGTAGGTGCTGAAGGAGACAGAGTTACCTTCACTCTCATTGGTGTCGTAGGCCCCAGTGGGACGGCAAGAGTGAGTTGCCCGACTATACTACTATGACTACTGGCAGTGGGTGATCTGCTCGATGCCATGTGTTTCTGCCTGTATGTGAGAGCAAGAATACCCCGAGATGATCGTCCTAGGACTGTGATGGAGGCGAGCATGGTCTTTCAGCTAGCATGTCCCTCACAGTACGGATCGAATAGGAGCTAGGATGCAGAGGCCGGGTGAGTGGAACCGGTGTCACACTGGTGGTGTGTCTACCTATCTATGCTAGCGATTGAGAGTGCATGCCGTGGGTCGTATGGCGCAATTTGTGTGACACAACCTCTACTACACCGATCACTGTGGAGCCTACTGATGGCCACGTCGGACGGGATGCTAAGTAAGGAGGAGTCTATGATGATGACACCGCTGCACTAGGGTCTGTAGTTGGTCCTGTCCGTCGAGTTAATGATGAGATATACGTGCAGTACACGGGAGAGCTCATGAGGTAGTGTGCCTCCAGGTTGCATGTAGGCATCCATGCTCAGATACCGTCTACATGTTGATACTTCATCCTTCCTAGTGTTTCAATGGCAGATAGATAGGCTTCTCTCGGGAAATGATGTAATATTGCAGATGAACTTACTTTGAAGGATTTCATTGCTGCTGCTACCATAGGCGATATCCATCACGAAGATGTTCACTACTCTGGGTGAGTTGACTGGAACCTGGTTATGAGATGAAATGCACTCAGCACGAATTGAACCCACATGGAAGAGTTGCAGCGACCAGGAGTTGAACTTGGGTAAAGTGGAATGTAGTTGGCAGGAATCGAACCTTTGTATTGATCATGAATGATGATGATACGCTTGTAAGAAAATTCCTCTGACCGAGAACTGAACTCGCGTACGATTACATGCAGTAGTCTTCTTTTATAGTGTGTGGTTGATCATTATTATTAACAGCACTTATGCTTTGAACACTTGAAGATGGATGAGGTGAGGAGACTGGAAGAGATCATGTAAGAGCACAGGGTCGCATTTGGGAACTTCGAGACGCAGTGGGAAGTTCATGCAACCACCACGACTGCTATTCCGACCAGTTTTATTCATTAATCACTAATAACATCTGCTTAGCTAAGAGTCTTATTCATTAATCACTGATTGTAAAAATTTTATTTTACAGGAATACGTGTAGATCGAATTTTATTTTAGCGTTATTCGATCCTTATTCACATAGAGGAGTTAATAACTCCTCTATGTGCGAAACCTTCTGAATGAAACTTTCGTCATTGTTCATCTTGGGTTGAAAAGCCGTTGACAATTATTCCGAGACCAGGGACACCCTAATTGAGACCCAGTTTTTCGTTGTAGTGGTATCATACCACTGTGGTGACTGGTATGTTGGTACAATCCAGTGGTGTAATGTTGAGTTCTTTAGCGGTGGCTAACTATTTACCGCCGCTATATTCTGTGAGGGCGATCCTATGAACAAAAAATTGGCTCTAGTATGAATTACTAATGCTCGTGTTGAGTTAATAGTAGTGTCGGTTAACCGTCAACTCATCATGCGGCTGTGGCAGCACTTGACGCTATTAAACAGTTATGGAATAGCCCTCCTGCGTCTGGGGTTCAAGTGGGTTACTGGGTTGGATACGGTGTCTGCGTAAAGCAGTCACTTCGTGGGTAATACCCACTGGGTATTCACCGTTGACGGCATTGCCGTCACGGCAATGATTCATGACAAGCGCAGCGAGTGTTTTGCCGCCACTGTTGGTTCCATCGGTGGTTCGGTTGTTTTATGTGATTCCTTCGGGAAGACTGCGTGGCTGCCAGTCGCGCTGAAAAACCGGGTCTAACGTTCAGACCCGATCTCTGTGCTGTGCTGGAACCCGGCGTGAGAAATCGATCACCAGGGCGCGCGCGTTATGAAGCGCGTGTCCAAGCCGGTTCTTGTTCTCGTCATTCATCGGACACTATGGCGTTAGCACTGCTACTCTGAACCGTTGAAGGGAGTTGATATCCTTGAACGGAGAATGTGTCTGAATGAGCAAATGTTTACAAGGCGCTCGGCCAAATTGGATGATCCAATATTCGTTGAGTAGCACTTTATCCCTCAGGCTATCACACTGTTAATGACCTGAAAACTTGAAATCATTCAGTTTCCGATGTTCCTATGGATCGACAAAGTATCGGAAACGCATCGGTTAGGTGTTTCTCTATACTTTCACGGGAACATGCTGGGGGATCTGCGATCAGTAAATTATCGCATATGAATCAAGACTCCCATGGGTAACTCGCAGACTGCATGGCGTTTAGCCATCCGGAGGCGGTTTCCAAGATTCTCCCAAGCATGAAACTCATTGGAACGCTAAGAGGAATCGAGGGCTCTGAAATAGTCCGACTTAACTGTGAGGAATAACTGTGATTCTCATTGAATGGGGTGAATCGTATTGCAGGCTTGTGTTCGCTCGTTGACCCACGGTAACCCCGAGCTCTTCCGCTGCGGAAGTTCCGCAGGCCTCCAGCTGCTGGAGTCCAGCACTCAATTTACATGCTACGAGAAGGGAGCAGAATGAACGACTCAGATGACTATAATCGCTCTCTATTCTTCGAACACTTCAGGCAGTCGACAAGTATACAATTTTCGTGTTGTGTTTTTTTGGAGTTGGAGGATCCCTTAGTTGTAGAGAGGAGTCAAAGCATAACAGCCGAAGAATATTATTCGACATACATATTAACGCAATTGGAGAATGCAAGTTTCAATTGAAGTTGGTATATTTCATGCATTTAAGCAAGACTGAGCGAAGGAAACGGCCGAATATCCCGTGCATTGCACCGACAGACTGCGTGTAGGGTTCACTGACGTAATCGTCATCTAAGTCAACTGACAGGATAGGATACATTTCAAATCCCGGCAGGATCAAGCTACCCTGACAGCGGAACATGATGCTCCTCTCTGTTGAGGTCATGACCTGACGGAAGCGTCACTATGACATCGTGACGCTCCCGTTATAAACACTAACCGAGTGCGTAAGTCGTGGTACATCCCATATACAGCGATTTGCCAGCCTCGCTCTGGCCTACCTGTTCTGTGTCTGAAGAGTCACTGACTCAGATTTGAATCTGAATCACTGTATCAGTGATTCTTAATGCGAAGAAGCGAAGCGCAGTACTCAGTACAGCACTACATTCCCCGGCTCTCGAGGTTCGATACTTATTGAAGAAATCCTCAGGCTAGTATTTCAAATACTTTGCAGTGAAGGCTCAGAGTTCGAGCTTCTTGAGCGACAACATGGGCGACACATATGATCTCGGACTTGAGTCTCAAGTTCTTGCTTTCCAGTGAACGGTGCACTCCACTGTTCCACATCGTGAAGAACGGTTGAGTGACGGTAACTGTGACTCACGGATGTCCTCAGAAGACATCAGGGTAGACGGTCCCCGGATGAAGCCTCCATCATGAAGGCTCGGAATACAGCAGGTTCCCACCCACCATCGGATCTGTCCCTGAGGTTTCTGTCAGTTTTTTGCTATCCTCAATTGACTGAATATTTCGAGCCGATGTCGAAAAATCGGTCACCCATTCTGCCGCTGTGGCAGTGATACCGAGACGCATCTGTCTATTTCCGAATTCGATTAGTGAAGGTTTTCTCCTTCAGTGAGTAACTCCGAGAGTTATCCGCAGCTATTCCGTTGCATGCAGCCCCCAGCCGCGCAGCCTTGAGTCTGATTTTACACCACTATTAGTGGTCCACTAAAATCGAACGCAATACGAGCTTTTCTTCAACGGATCATCTTATACTTCACACATTCAAAAACTCGGATCTAAGTTGGCCTTCAAATTATAGGTGGCGAGCAGACTACGGTTGGCCTCCAAATTATATGCAAGTCTTACGGTTACCGTCGTACTCGATTACTGTATAAAGTGGCTGCCGGCATGGTGATTACCTGAAAGGAACTATCGCTACATAAGCGCAAACAAAAATGATTCTCAGCTTACATAATCTCGTTCCAGCCGCAACGGAAAAAGCTACCTCGCTCGCATGAAGCTATCTGCGATGGCCGTCGGATTGCGAAGACTGTGAATAACGCTCCATGAGTCTTGCTCGCAGCGAGAGCTCCTATTGGCCTTCAGGTAATCATCCCAGTCCGCCTGCTCTTTTATCCAGCCGTCCCACGGAATATAATGTGGTCTCTGATCTTCGGAGGACACGTTCCAACTCTCCGGGATTTTGAAACAATCAACAGGAGCCTTCCGCTTATGCAACGTCTCGCGAGCTAATATAATAACTCTGTTTAGCACGCTTTCGGCTACAGTTAAACCACTCTTGCACCAACTGCGTCGGTGGCCTTCCTCGTTGACCTCGAACAAGTCCGTGTCGAACGCATCTCTAGATCTCACCAAGAACGATGCAGTTGGCCTTCCGTTTGGTCCATCACCCCTTAAAGGCCTTCGAAGCTCCCACCGCCTGAATACCTTGAAGTTGGCCTCCAAATGGTCCCTGCAGCAGAACCCCAAGCTGGCCACATTCTGTGGAGGAGAATTAGTTATCTTGTGCTTGCTGTGCACCACGACGTAGAGGACACCAAGATTCCCCTCGGTCAACCAGTCCAATATTGTCCCAGCTGTGGGAACATTCAATGCATAGGGTCCCTGAGACCCACTGTAGAGGCCGGTCAAAATTGCGACGCAGCCGACTTGATTGGCCTTCGCCTTTGGAATCGCCCCGCCTGCGACCAATGGGTGAGAGATGGCCGACAAATTTCCCCTGTCAAGGGGGCAGATGAGATTGGCCTCCTCCAGAGAGTCCAGCACACGGCGCCAGCGAGCAATCCTCGAGTCGTCTTCGTACTCAGCTGCCCCCATGTAAGCATAATCTTCTCCCTCGATGAAAAAGCTACGGTCGGTTGGCCTTCGGCTTCTGAGTTCCGCACGACTAGTGCGAGGAAGCATCTTGAAAAACGGCAGCTCGATTCTGGACGGCCAGAACGTGCGCTCTGGGTCGTGCTCGATGCGACGACGGTCGGCGCCCAGCCACGGCGTATTAAATAAACTTTCTACATCAATACCCTCAGGAGCTGAGCGGAGTCTCCCCCGGCTCATGGTGGCCTTCTTGGTTTGAGGGGTAGGACTGCCCGGAGGCGCTGCTCGGCCAACTGGTGGTCTGGTAACCGAACTCGATTGGGCTGCAAGCTCGCTGTTTGGTCTTCGCGGAGGCCGAACATCACTGGCGAGCCTCTGAGTAGGCCCGCCACCTGAGCCTTCACGATTCTCGGCGCGAGTTGGACTGCTATGGAGCGGATGCTGAGGACTTGAGGGCGGCCTTCTCAACTCAGGTTCAGCTGGAGTCCGCAAATCCGGAGCTTCAACGAAGTGTTCAACTCGAGCAGAAGGATCAACTTGGACAGGAATCTCTTGCGTCTGATGCCTCTGAGTTGGTACATCTATGACCGGATCTGAGCAGGGAACCCGGATCCCGTTTGTAATATACGATACGAAAGAAGCGTTATTACCCTGGGCAATACATTGATGGCCTTCCGGAACGATATGCTGAGAAGCGTCCGATCCAGACTTGTTTGGGTATATGTCATTGCGTTGACAATTCCATGCTTGACACTGGTCATTCTCCCGTAGGCAGCCATCATCTCGACGAGCATGTTGATTCGTCCTTCTTTGGCGTTCCCTGAAATACAACAGTAGAACAGCAGATTCGAGCGTCGTTTTCTCGGGGGCCGGACTCACCTAACAGGTTGAGATTGGTGACTGCCCGAGGTCGCTGGCATACTGACTGAGCTGCTATATCCTCCGTCAGGCCAGTTGCATTTTGCATCATGGCCATACATATCGTTCAGAAACTCCTCAGGGGTGCGACTATAATGAGGAAGATTCAGTAACAGCGGGCGGGGCCGAAACGATGTACCTAAGAAATTGTTAGTAACATTGAGAAAAATACAAACCGACAGACTTCGATGGCCGCACCACCGTCCAATTTATTACGGAATGAACTCCCGGCTGCCTCCCATTCTTGAGCTCCGAACATTCTCGTGGAATGGTCAGACTCTACCTCTCTGAAATCCTGCATGTTAGTGGAAGGGCCTCCTGTTTCATCGCGAACAGCGGGGCCTTCAGGGTGGAACAGCACCGGGGAACGTTTCGGCCGATGATGCATGCGGTGTCCTTCTGACTGAGCACGTTGGACAGGGCGTCCAAGTGGGACACTTTCGACTGGGCATGCAGGCATTTGCCGTTGCGGCGGTCGTCCAGACGAGTCAGGGATCCCGCCATCGAATGCACCTGCAATAGAACTTGAGTTCCTAATACTTCGGCGCCAAAGAAAAAGTCATGCCTCGTATCCATCCTTCACTACCTGTCGTATAACGGCTATCTCCTACAGGCGAGGAAGGCGCTCTCCAGCGGCCGGGGTCATCCCAATCAGCACGCTGCAGTCCGTAGAGTGAGCTCTCGGCAGGGGAGGGATGAGCTTGGAACCCATGTCCCGGCTCCAGCTCTACTAATCTTCGTGCTAGAGCTGCATCTAGCTCCGGATCAAGGGGGCACGTGTTTTGCCACACTACGTAAGGGCGAGCAGCATCAAAACCCGGCATATACTCAAGCCTAGCGTTGGCCTGCCAAAATACAACTCTTCCGATCTTATCCTGTAGGAAGCCACCGACCGGACCGAGAGGACTGGATGACCGACTATAATCATCGAGTTCACCGATGGCCAGAGACTCTCGGTCAAGCACAAACTTGCGCAGCCTTTGCACCACCTCACCAAAGCTGCCAGGGAAGTCTTCGCGGGCTACAGTGTTCATAAGCTGGGCCATAGTGAGACCACGGAGCGCCTCATCTTGGATAGTGACGATAGGGTATAGGTTATTGTATCGATTTTCGCTTGCAATACCCTCGATATACACCTCGTCCATGTGGTGGGCCGCCGGATTAGTTGCATGCTTAGCAAATGCTCGGAGTCCGTTGTACCAGCTGAAGTCCTCGCAAGAGAATAGCTTACCGCACTTGACCTTGTTCCTGGAGGCCTTCGACCTCTCAGTATTGAAGCACGCTTTGCATATACAACACATCATCGCCTTCGAACAAGGAAAGACCAAGCAGCTATGGAGCATCCCCCACATAGTACAATCTCTGATCTTAAGACGTTGGCCTTCTGAGGGAGTTTCGCAAATATCAGGGAGATGTGAAGCTCGAGCTTCTGCTATCAACTGCTGGCCATCGAGCTTAGCCTCGGCTTCGGGCGGGGGGTTCATGATGAACGGGTTGCCATGTAAGGTGAGAATAAGGGACACACTCTCCGTCCTATACACCGGAATAGTTTCCGTGCAGGGGTTGTAGAACATCCTACTCGGGGCACCAGCCAAATGAGAGCAGTATGCCACCCTGCTTCGGCGCAGTTGCGGGATGTTGGTGGCCAACCATATAGGAAGCACAGCTTCAGCTTCTAGACCTGGCCAACTAGTTTTTGCCGCATAGTTTCTGTCATGTATGTCCAGGGGGTGTTCCGGGTTGCGGGGATCCCTTATTTCTGGGCTGGGTTGAGTGCGGTTATCCCGCAAATATTCTGGGAAGCCTTCAAACTCTCGGTAGCACGCAGCACGACGATCAGAAACATGCAGATGGCCTTCTGGTTCATTCTCGAGCTGGTAGAATTCCAACATGACCTCACTGAACTCATCGAGATGGTAAAAAGGGTCAACCTCACCGGGATAGTAGCTACCCTCCAACCTATCCATAGGGAGACGCAGGGTGCGACAGATTTGGGCGACCGGCCCGTTAGAGTTCTGATAGCTGGCCGACGTACGGATGGCCGACATGATGATGAACAAAACTCTGCAGAGAAGTTGATAGCATCGATTTATTTCACAATACATCTAACTTATATGAGGTTAATCCTGAAGAATAACCACATCGTTTACTAGGCATCTATACTCGCTAGTTACTGCCTGACGATGAGCCAACCTACTGATGAGTAGGACCGAAGAACTCGGAAAAGCAGCCTATGTTGTACGAGAGACCTAAGCATTCCCACGACAAAGTGCGAACGCAACATAACTCATCTTCGAAGCTAGAGATCTGATGCAAATATACGCCCGCATTGCCTAAGTCATCTAGGCTAGGCCAAGACATGACTACCGTCGAATATCTGAGAAGTATGAAACTAGACGATAACGGCTGCGCAATACGAGCTCATAAAGTCTCACAATTTGGAGCTGCACTCATAGCATGAAGGGGAGCGTAAACATTAGGTTAGAAGACAGCAGAGACTAGATCTGAACTGAAATCCTAAAGCAACGGGAACCGTCGACCATAGCTGGTGGATATTAATAGTGTACTACCTTAGCCGCTGTTTTCCAATATAGTGTTGGGTTCGAAAGTAACTCTCGAATGCGCACCAATTCTGCATCCAGGGTGTAGTCAGTCTGATGCAGACACTCCGCTGGACAGTGGATAATCGCCACCACAGTCGCTCAAACCTTGGATACCGAGGCGCTCCAGAAACTCTATCGCGACCCTTGTGAGCCTTTTTCCTCTAGTCAGGGATATATTCCAGGCAACAAGGGAGTCCGCTGGTACGTCATCGATCCAAGGGTGACTTGTTGAAATCTTACTGGTAGAGGCCTTCTTGTTCTTACCCTCACACTTTTGTATACACATTTGCTGCAAAGTACCGCGTGAAAGGGTGTGAGTACCATGCTTTCGTAAGAGCTTCTCGTCATAAGAATACCAGTGTATGGATATAGAGGCTTCTCCCCTTTTTCCTGGAGGTGTACGGTCAGCGGTCCAGCTGGGAGTGGAAACTACGCACCCAATAGCAGGACACCGGCGGTCGACGAGCTCATGGAGGCCATCCTCAGTATGTACGAAAGCGAATAGGCCGACACGCGGTAACTCGTCCTCGCGCAGCTCGGAAAGCGTCAATACTTTTCCAGACGGCAGACACCTTCTACAGTTGAGGGTACTCTTGGTAGTCCGGCCTTCTCCATCTCCACGAACGACCACTCGAGCAAGCTTCGTATATTTCAGCTCGCGGCCTTTCATGGACTCAAACAGAGCACGGGCATCGGAATCTTCGCTAGCGCTCTTGCCGATGATAGTTGTACCGCGTAGCTGGCCTGCGGGGCGGAGCTCGGTATTTTTCTGGAGCTTCTGCCTCTTTCTCGGAGGCTTGCCAGAAAGGCACTCGAAGGAGTTCTGTGATCTTGTGCCGCTCGGTTCTGACCGAGTGGGCAGGTTGAACCTAGGCAGTCTGGCCAGTGTATCCTCGTGGGCGAGGTATGAATACGTCCCCAGCTGTAATTGCACTGCATGAGCTATATCTGAGAAATGCGTCGGTATATTACCGGGAAGTCAATAAAGCTGATGGACCATTCTGTATACTACACGGAGCATTGAAGGAAAAATAAATTTTTCACGTTTCCTAAATATACCTCACCCTTCTGTGAGAAAAGCAGAGGGTGCTCCTTCGATAGCTTCTTCAAGCCTTCAGCAGCTATGGGGTCGTGTTTGTGAGAGTGGGCGGCTTCCGATAGTGGCTCAGCGATTCCATCGAGCGTACCACTTTGTAGAAATACCTGGGAGAGCACTGGGAAGCGGCCAGCGAAACTATGGAGCCCCGGGCCATCATTGCAGGAAATCTATCTGTGAATGCTACCTGAGGCCCTAGCCAAATCTCATCTGACATGGTCTTCTTATAGTAAATAACTACGTCCCCGGAGTTGGAATCCTTCTCAATCTGAAAGATCAAAGTATACGCGGATACTGGGACTGGGCGAGGGCCTTCACTCTGAACGAATAAGCAGTTGTTATTCCTTTCACGGCGGGGACGTAAGGTTCGAGCCTGGCCTTCCAGTCGCGAACATGATACATAGTTGTAGCATGAGGATTGAGGGTTTCGCGTCCCATAGGGGTGTTCATTACCTGAAATTAAGGTCATACATACTGGATAAATAATACGTGAGTAGAGAAATATGAGGAAACTCACTTTTCGGCTGGCCATCTCTGCTTGTGTTGGCTCTTTGGTAGTGTGGCCTACCATCTTCTTCTTGAAAATATCACAAATTGTATTGCCGTCAACGAATTTTGTTTCCTTGAGGGCACATCCATACTGGAAATGACGCATGTCAACATCTTCGTGAGTATGCCCAGGAGGTAGAAATCCAAAATCGACTCTTCTTAGGAGGCCTTCAGACACCTTTTCAGCGAAGTACCCAAACACGAACCTATCATAGCGAGAATTTACCACCTGATGGAATCCTGCCACGGATTCCATACCTGAGGTACCATCGACAGGGTAGTTACCTGTTTTTGTTCTCTCCAGTTGGATTGTCCAACTGAACATGCACGAAGCCAGATCTAGGGAGGCCGTCTGTATCTCGAAGAATGGCGAGAGTCCGTTCGAAAGACTCTATGACCATGTTGGCTCCCTGAAGAAAGTAACTCGTTGTGCACTGTTGCGTTATCACATCACAAACTTTATTACATGGGACTTATCCGGCGGAACAACATAGAGGAATATATTGGGGCCTGGCCTTCCGTGACATATGACTAGCTCCAGCTTCAGTTTTGGTAGGCAGGTGTCGTCGAACTTCGGGAAGCTGCGAGATTGAGACCATACTATGTGTGGTACCCGCGTGAGGAACTGGTCGGGTCCGTCAGCTATAATTGTGAGAACTTCCTCAGGATTCTGGATGGCCTTCATCTTCAAGTCATAGTAGACAGAGCGCTGCTTTTTCACGGCATCGAGATGCAGCGTGAAGCGAGCCATATAAAGTTCTCTATCGGCTTCGCATTCGGCCCTGGCTATAGCAATTTGAGATTCCGTGCAATCTGAGCAGTGACCGAAGCGTTGTGTCTTCCTCAAGCAGACGCGAAGGCTGGTTGACTTTTCTTGCTGATGGCGACCACTAGTCGGCACGCTGGCCTCCTCTCCAGGCCCGTGGCACTTGATGTATCCCAGAAGGTTGTCATCGGTCAAGTACCGTCGTATAGATCTCTCGACGGGGAAGGCAGTCGTTGGGAACTCGTCGGTCCACTTCTGCCTCAGGTACTGGAAAAGGTTGCGCCTCGTCACAAATGGAAGTATAACAGTAGAGCTGTCTGGCTGGTATTCTCCAATCCGTCGAAAAATACTGGCAATGAATGCACAAACGCAGTGACGGCGAATTCCTTCAGATGGCCTACGCAAGGAATAGCGACGGTGGGCCGCCCACGAGCCCGATTCCGCGAGTCGACGCACTTCATTCACCTTGTTCCGGCCAATACCCAAATACCAAGCTAATGCTCGAGTGCAGACAGCCTTACCGTACAGCTGAGGCCGAAACCCACCCTCTGTTGGAGACGTTCGAATGACCATGCCTTGGCGAAGACAGAAATTTTTCAGGTAGTTGAAGGAGGCATCCCTCGACCGGGGTCCTTCCAAACCAAACGAGAGTTTTCTTCTATCCTCGAGAGCATGCTCAATGCTGAAGGTCGATAGACAGTTTTTCTTGCAGCACTTTACGCTGAGGGCAGCAGCCACTCTGTCTCGGTTACATCGCCGGTCTGCTTCAACGGACATTTGCCCGAAGCCGTGACCACCATCTTGCCGATAATCTCCATCCTCCGCCACTGGTCTGACTTGGATAGCGCCATGGCCTTCGCTTGTAGAGGAAGAAGAGGTATCCGCCATTGTAGAAACTGAGACCAAACCTTGAAAGATCAAAAGCTCAGCGCGACGGTTTCGCAAGTTGAGAAATGTTGGAA